CCTTAAAACATCTCATTATTCTGGTGTTAAATAAATAGAAACAATTTTGATAATCTTAATTGACCTAAAATGGGAAAAGCTTGATTTTCACATCAGTGTGAAAAAATGCATACCTTTATATAAAAATATAGTGTATGTAAACTTCTGGTTACAGCTTGAAATCAGTTTTACAGCCACTGAGCTAACACTGTGTTACTCCCTGTTCCCTTTCTGCTGTAGACAAACACTGACAAACAGCAACCCATTTTCAACAGGTGCAGGAAAGGTGAAGCTTTGTTTGGAGAACATACGTGTGGATATCAGAAGGCTGATGTATGCAGGCACGGCCAGCTGTGTAGTCGAATGATATGTTGCTGCCGGCCGTTGAGCAGGACTGGCACAAGGACTCGTGAGTGGTTCCTTCTGCCTGTTGCCATGACAGCGGGCTGCCTCCAAACCCTTGTATCTCCATCATTTCCCCATGGTCTGAACCAGAGAAGATGAAAGTAAGAAAAGAGAGATGTTTGAGACAAAATGGATGCTCCTGTCTTCCTGAAAACAGTCATTTAATAACAGCATATCCATTTCAATCTGATTGTTTCATGCCTTACATATTATGACATTGGTCCCTCAGCTCAACCATAAATACATATTGCCATGTATTTTTGGACTGTTACAACAATAAGAAATGAGCAGATGGATGGAAATTTTACACTTAAAGTAAGAGTTAGAAATCTGGTGTAGAGTGGAAACCAAAGGTGGAACAGGAGAAAGAGTTGTGTAAAAGATATAGGCAGAGAGGGATGCAGGAATCCATGCTGGTTAACAGCAACTCACTCAGAGAGGGGCAGAGGAGACAGCAAGGCTGGAGAGGAACAGRTGGAGGGGACAAKGCTCACACTCAAACCATGCACAAAGCCAGAAAAAAAAAAAGAATTCATACTAGAAGAAATCAAATGAACTCGAGTAAAAACGGCACACAAAGAGGAAGGGAAAAAAAGACAAACTTCAACATCAAATCAATGCTTTTCACCTTAATTCTTCAGGTTGAAGCTGATGACCAGTCATAAATATGAAGATGTGCTTTGGTTGTTCAATAACGCCACCCCCTTCCCCAACTGCACTCCCTACCCCACGCACCACTAACACCACCATCAAAGTTGATTGAGAACAAAATTAAAGAAAAAAAAAAAAAGAAACAGAATTAATTTCTGGAGCAAGAACACTTTCCTTCACTGTAAAACTACACCGGACCTACAGCTACCCTGCTCACACAAGGACTCCACATCTCTACTACTGCGGAACCCCACAGGACCATAATGAGAGGGGTGGAGGAAGGGATGAGGAGAAGGTGGGGTGGCGGGTTAGTGAAGAATTACAGTGAACAGCATCACATCAAACAACAGAAGAGAAACAACCAAACAGGTGAGAGGAAAAAGACTAAAGTAAAACAGGAGAGAACTTATCATTGCAAATCCACATGTACACGGTCATTCTTTACAGAGAAACAAAGAAAATAATGAACCGGGTGCATTCTTTTCCATGCAAAACATTGTCAAGCATATTAGCAGTGAAAATGAAAGAACTAGTTGTGTAAAACAAGAAAAACACAAATAATAATAATAAAACATATAAAGCAATGCTTGGCCATTCTGTTAACACTGTTGAGTCATGCTCCAAGAGTCCTGCCACAGCCCAACAGCAGTCACAGCCAAAAAACAAAGACGGATGGAACTGTAACGTAAACCCAGAAGTTGAAGCCAGAATGGGACCAGTTTCCCTGAAACTGTTTCCAGTACAAGTTTTAAGTCCCTCAGCCCCACTTAATGGGAATAAACAAAACATTGTTGTTGGTAAATTTAAAATTGCACTTCAGATGTTTCTCTCAAGCCCTTGTTGATACATGTAGTTCTTACCTTACTGCTATGCAAATATAAATTCTTCCAACGTGTTTAGCTGTAATTGATTATTTCATGCTTCAAAGAAAGGTCATGTGTTTCCATGACTGCAGGGAAGTAGTCAGGACTTCAGTGGTGGGCACCAGTCTGCTAAAGCGCAAAACCGCTAATTGTGGACCTAAATATTTTGTTTGWTCTTTAGCGGTCTTACTAATTTTTATAATTCATAAGCCGATTTGTGCTTTCTAAAATTAAAATGCAGTACTGCTAATAACTAATTACAGCAGGTAAAATAAGTATTGAACACGTCACCATTTTTCTCAGTAAATATATTACTAGAGGTGCTAATGACATGAAATTTTCACCAGATGTTGGCAACAACCCAAGTGATCCATACATACAAAGAAATCAAACCATAAATGTCCAGAATGAGATGAGAGCAACATTGAACTGTTTGGATGCCAGAATACACATCATGTTTGGAGGTCAAATGGCACTGCACATCAGCCCAAAAACACCATACCAACAGTGAAGTTTGGAGGTGGGAACATCATGGTGTGGGSCTGTTTTTCAGCATATGGTACTGGCAAACTTCAAATAATTGAAGGAAGGATGAGTGGAAAAATGTACAGAGACATTCTTGATAAAAATCTGCTTCCATCTACCAGGATGATGAAGATGAAACGTGGCTGGACATTTCAGCAAGACAATGAGCCCAAACACAAAGCCAAGGAAACTCTCAGTTGGTTTCAGAGAAAGAAACTAAAGCTGCTGGAATGGCCCAGCCAATCACCTGACCTGAATCCAACAGAAAATCTATGGAAAGAACTAAAGATCAGAGTTCATAGAAGAGGTCCACGAAACCTTCAAGATTTGAAGACTGTTTGTGGAAGAATGGGCCAAAATCACACCTGAGCAATGCATGCCACTAGTTTCTCCATACAGGAGGCGTCTTGAAGCTGTCATTGACAACAAAGGCTTTTGTACAAAGTATTAGATAAATTTCAGTAAGTGTGTTCAATACTTTTTCCCTGTGCCATTCCACATTATTACAAATAACTTCATTTCTGGACATTTATGGTTTGATTTCTTTGTATGTATGGATCACTTGGGTTGTTACCAACATCTGGTGAAAATTTCATGTCATTAGCACCTCTAGTAATATATTTACTGAGAAAAATGGTGACGTGTTCAATACTTATTTTACCCGCTGTATCTACCAATCATTATGTTGAACAGCAGAAGGTATGACTGTCAATGAATCACAACACATGTGATCTATCCAACAACACCCCTCCCAGATAAACACACTTATTGTGAAGGTATACATCCTTGCTGACTGTTACTTTGGGTCACGGTTCTCATTTTACAGTTATTTCCCACAATGTTTTGTGTTTGCTTACGTAGCAGGAAGGCAGTGTTTAAGAATTCCCTGTCCCAGCTAAAACAGTAAACGTTTGTAATCCATACTAAAATTTTGTATGTATTGATTTATTTTACTTTACAATCAGAGCTCCTTTCTAAATAAAATAAAGTTTAAACACTGGAGCTCAATACTTGATGTAACTGGTCGAAGCAACGGGGTTAGAGACTCAGAAATGATTTAAAGATGTTATGCTCATGATGGCTGACATCTAGTGGTCAACTGGAGCAACTACATGGAAAAATTTAACATCCAAGCTCTTATTTTGAAGGGAAGATAGTTTCCTGTACTCCATACTTTTGTTTCCCGTCACAAAYCAAATCCGTCATGTACCCAGAATGCATCGCTTCAGTTTTCCAATAAACAGTTTTAAAATTACTTTATTGATGCTTCTTTAATGAAAAATCTACAACAAACAAAATAAAAAGACAAAGAAGCAGCYGAGCTAGCAATCCTCAACAACTTTTTAATTTTTACACCAGGAGCCAAAGGTCTGTTTCAGGAAATCACATCCCCAGTAATCAGCAGTTGTAGGATTAAGCTGTAAAAGCGTTCATACACCACTAGTTGGCAGTGTTGTGCAWATATTATACATGAATTATTGTCAGCTAGTAAGTGTCAAATTGAATGTGTGCTTTAAAATTAGCTTCCACTAGTTTTTCTATGGCATAAGTGCTTTGGAAATTGCGGAGCTAATTTTTGGATTAGTGCTGCCCACCACTGCAGGACTCAAACCCCAACATCACAAGTGCACAGATTCTGGTAGCTTGTGGGGGAAAGTTATAAACTAAATTTCACTGCATCACAATATAAACATGAATGAGTTAAAGTTAATTTCAAACTATGAAAAACTGCTCATTATGTAATGGTAATATTAACCTGCAAATGATAGAATTTTAAATATGTACAGCTCTTGGACTGTTTACAGTGCCCACACAGCAGATGACATAAGGGGTTCTTTCCACATTGAAAGCCAGTGTTTGGAAGTACTTTGGATACTATGAAGTTAAAGAGAAAAATTAAGCTGGCAAGAGCCATACTCTATGCAAGCTGTGTACATGTTTCTATCTGAAAGAGAAAGAAAAACAGTTGGTAGCTACTACCATCTTTAAAGGAAGTAATTCACTGGGCTTTGAGGAGTTGGCAAACAGCATTTGTAAGAGTCTACAGAATGTCATAAAACATTTGAATCATGGTATGACATGGGCAGAGGTGGGCCAAAAAATGTCTATAGCTTAAAATACACATTTCCAAGCTGTGCAAATGACAATATGCCACTTTTTTTAAAAATGCAAATACAAAATGCATACTGTGTATTTTTGGAAAAATGAAAAGTCAAATTATCTTATAAAGCCTATACAGTAAATGTTTTTGTAATATTTAGAATTGTATTTCTCCAAAATCCTGAGAAGTGAGAACAAATTCTCTTTGTTATGTTTATGAATTATGTATACTATAACTAGAATACATTTTCCCACAGACAGACAGACAGACAGACAGACAGACAGACTCTCTAAAACACACACACAGAGGGCACTTCTAAGGATCTGTCATTCTGTTTAATTTATGACATTTTGTTTAGGCCACAACGTGCTAAATGTTACAAAACTCTCAATTCTAATTACTTTTTTTCCTGCAATTGTAGTTTCTCAGTTGCCACCATGCTTTATTCAGTTTTTGCATTTTCATTTTCTTCTTCCTGTAGTTTTTTAAATCTCCTGACAAAAAATGAGACTGGACGAGACGAGACTGATGGAGGGTTGCAGTTTTTACACAAGACTACCTTGTTGCCTGCCGCTGCAATGCATATTAGAACATCATTTTCAGAAAAGAAGTATTGTACACCATCATAACTCTAGTTTTATTTGTCATATCAGCACGATTTAAAAACTGGGGTTAAGTTTTTTATTGTGTTATGTTATTGGATTTCTGTGCTCGTCATGGATTGTCCATAACGAACACAATGTTCAAACATAAGGGTGTCTAAATGTGCTCTTGGCACCAGGACACCCTAAGTCCGATGATCGACTTTGTTGTCATTTACTCTGATCTGCAGCCACATGTTTTGGACACTCAGGTGAAGAGAGTGGTGGAGCTGTCAACTGACCACTACCTGGTGGTGAGTTGGCTTCRWTGGTGAGGGAGGATGCCAGTCAGACCTGACA